CCACACTCCAGGCTGCACCCCACTGCATGGGAACCCTGTAGCCCCAGCCTGGGATTAGCTCCACAGTGGGCAGGGCAAGTGGGCAGGGCCCCAGGAAGCAGGTTTGTTGGCCACAACTGAGGAGCCTTTGTGTTTTGTTGCTGAGCTCGGGCTTTTGCAGGTCCATGACGTCTCGGGCCAGCCCATCGCCTGCCCTGTTGGCTCAGCACTTCTGGGAAGCGACAAAAGCAGCCCAAACTGCCCTACCAGAGCTCTAGAGGGGAAACTGAGGCACTGCACATAGGCCTCCAGGGCTGGGTCCCAGATCCTGGAGCTCAGTTCAGGGAGAATAGTCAGGAAACAAAGAGGCTCATTCTTTTAAATCCCCAGGATGCAAGAGCCCCTCTGCCAAGAGCACAGGTTCCCACCGACCTCTCCACCCTTCACTGCACACCTTTCTTGTTCCTTTCTTCTCTGAACATAGCAGCCTCTTGCAGGTATCCCCCACCTGGGCTCTCAAAAGTCCTTGCTTCTGACCCACCACCTGACACTCAATCACAGGACTCTAGCTGGAGTTCATCCCTGGCCCACAGGCCCTATAGCTGCAGTATGGTAACTGGTATTCAGACCATTTCTCCAAAGGAGTGATGGAGGCACTGAGATTACATTCTGGAAGGGATACTACCCTGAATGAGGTCCTGAGGTATTAGATTGAGAAACTGAGTCTATTTTTATGGCAGAGTGGGAAGTATACTGGGCTGGGTGCTACTGTTCTGTGCCCCTGAGCAAGTGACCCAACCCCTCTGGACCTTGGTCTCCATAAAATGATGGATTGCGTGGTCCACTGAACTCCAATATGCTGCCATTTTAGTGGTCCCATTCCCACATCTGGGACAGCCTTGCTTCTCATGTAAGAGGGAGCCTTTGGCCAAGGAGAGATGGTACGTTCTGTGGACCAGACCTGACTGTTTGGGGAACCAGGGAGAGTCAGCAGGGTCCTCTCCACTCTCTTAGCCCTGCCAGTGTCAGCTGTGACATGATCAATTCAGGGCCAATCCTTCTCCTTCCCTCCCCCACAGGGGCTTGTAGTCTATTGGGAGATGGGGTAACACAACTGGAAACACACTAGACATGCATGCCAGAAATCAAAAAATAACAGGGTACAGATTCATGTTATATGTGGTTGGGGTATAAATACAGATGTCAGCTAAGTAGGAAGGGATGAGGGCTTCCTGGGAGAGGGGTCTGAGGAGCACCCAGTACAGTACTCAATAAGTATTTGTTGAATGAAGTTCCAGGAAGGAAAGTCTACTGCTTCATAGAGGAGAGATGGTGATGATGGTGATGATGATGACTGATGATGGTAATGGTGATGATAATGATCACGGTGATGATGATAACTGATGATGGTGGTGGTGATGATAGTGATAATAGTGATGATGATGGTCACAGTGATCATGATGACTGATGATAGTGGTGATGATTATGATCATGGTGATGATGATGACTGATGATGGTGATGATGATGATTGATGAAGGTGATGACTGATGATGGTCATGATGATAGTGATGATAGTGATGATGATGACTGATGATGGTAGTGTTGGTGGTGATGATGATGATGGTGATGGCTGATGATGGTGGTGATGATGACTGATGGTGGTGGTGATGATGACTGATGGTGGTGGTGATGGTGATGATGACTGATGATGGTGGTGATGATGGTGATGATAATCACAGTGATGATAATGACTGATGATGGTGATGGTGATGACTGATGATGGTAGTGATCATAGTGATGATGGTGACCGATGGTGGTAGTGATGATGACTGATGATGATGGTGATGATAACTGATGATGGTGATGATGATGATAATCACAGTGATGATATGACTAATGATGGTGATGATGACAGCAACTAACATTTATTGAGCATTTAATTTGTGCTTAGTGCTGCTTCTCTAAGTTTCATGTGTAGTCACTCATTTAATCCTTACAACAGTTTTATGGGGTATGTGTTATTTTAATCCGTATTTCACAGATGTGCAACCTCAATGCAAATTGAGGCACAGAGAGGTTAAGTCACTTGCCCAAGGTTTCACAGCTTGCAAGTGGCAGAGGAAGAATGCAAACACACGCTGTTCTTCAGCTCTTCACAGCCCCACCATGCTGCCTGAAAGGAATGGTGGCAGCAGCCCTTCGGAAGGTAGGGGAGCTTTGGCAGTGTAGACAAAACACAGGCATCGGTTCTTGGGTTGTGAGAGCCGGAGCGGCTGGTGGAGAGGCTTGCACCGCCTTGGGAGGGGCTGTAATGTAGTGATGATGATCCTCGTCATCCGTCTCCAAGGGGTCTCCCTCAATGCCCACCCCTTCTCCCAGGCTGCCAGGTGAGGCTTTCTGCAGGAGAGCCCTGTTCCTGGGTTCCTGCTCCCATCAGCCCTTTCTTTCCCTTTTCAGTGGTGAGCCATTCCCTCCTTGACTAGCATTGGAACCCTGCCTGTCAGAGTCACCAGGGTTGATTCTGACAGGCAGGGCGAGAATGTAAAGCACAAGGGGCGTTCTTCCTGGCCCTGCATCATCGGACCAAGACAGGCAGCCCCAAGCCGGAAGATTGGGTTCTGGGTTCCTAAGCTGGAGGGTGGAAGAGGGAGGAAGGGAGGTCTTCAGACCTTGCCAGTCTCCCAGCCTCTCAGTTCCATAACTGAACCCCCACCCTTAGTGACCCCAGAGCCCATACTCCACGAGCTTCCTGTGCCCAACCCTAGGGCAGAATAACTGCCTGCTCCCTTGAGGTCCTCCCGCCCCGCTGTGCCCTGCCCACCCATCACCAAGGGAAAAAGGAACAAGGGCCAGGAGAACCTGCTTTGTGCTCAGCGAGCAGGCACCCTGGGCGCTCTCCTCACTGCCCCACCGTGGGTTGCTTCTGGGAGAGCTACACTGGAGAAAAGGGAGCAGCCTCCTCCTAAAACAGACATGGGGGTAGGGAGGGCCACGTCCACCTGGTGAGGCATTGGTGGACGAGGTGCGATCTCTGGGGTGCCCGAGCCCCTTCCAGTGCCCTGCCCACCCCACGCCCAGGCTGCTCTCAGCCATCTCCTGGCACTCACAGCCCTGAAGGGTAAGGTCACTGCTGAAGATGCCACATGAGTGTCAGCCTGTGTGCCAGGCACCAGACCGGCCTGTCCCCGTACTGTGGGGAGAGGAGTGGAGATGAGCTCGCAGCAGACTGGGTGCCTTGTCCTGCTGCAGACCCCACCATGCCCTGACATCAGTCCCAAGATGGCTTCTTGTGGCCACACCCCTCCCCCTCCCTGCACCCTGCACCCATGGCCCAGGCCCTCCCAGCTGGCTTTTCCTGTTCCTGGCTTTGTGTGGTAAAAGTTCCCCAATTAGACCCACATTATCTCAGCTGCTGGGCAGGCTTGGTGAGTGGAAGCTGGGGGCAAGGTTCAGGGAGCACCCACCCACTTTCTGCTGGGAGAGCCTAGGGCTTAGGTGCTTGCCACCCAGCCATTCAGCTGGTGCGGGGCTGTCTGACCCACCGACCTCACCGTAGGACTGTGTTGGGTGGGGCCACAGCTTGGCTGGGCTACGGTTCAGGGACTAGACAGTTAAGGCCACTGAGGTTGGAGAGCTTAGCCTGCTCCCTCGTGGAGGAGAAAGGGGCTCAGGGGGCGTTCCTGGGCCAGGTCTCCAGGCAAGCTCAAGATGGGCAGGTGGACCCAGCCCTCCTCACCTCCTGGTGGGCGCTCCTCCATCAGACTCCCACCAGCCTGCAGTGCAGCTCCTGAGGACATGTCAGACCCCACGGACCAGCCAAGGGGACAGCTGGAGGGCTAGGGTTATGTGCCCAGGTGGGCCCTAAAGAGCGTGTGGATGTGAGAGGCATCGAGGGGAGCATCAGGGAAGCTTCCGGACTGTGGCAGGGCCTGGTGTGGCGGGGCCTGGCATGGCGGGACCAGAGACATTTAGTCGGCAAGCATTTCTTGAGTCCCGCGTGTCAAGCACTGAACATACCGCAGGGCCCTAGGGAGAGCTGGCCTGCACCTCTTAAGGGAGGAGTAGGGGCCTCCTGCTTCAGGGACCTGGGCTCTGGAGCCTGCAGAGGACTGTGCCCTGCTCCTGTGTCCGCACCACACTGAGGCAAGTGTGAGCCCCACATTCCTACTCTTGAACCCCAGATGCCCTCGGGGAGGCAGGGAGGCCATTCCTGTGTCCTGCCTGGGTCTGTGCAGGGCCTGGCATTGGTATTATTGATGGCTCTCGATAAAGTGACTGAGCGAAGTAGGAGTGCAAGGACGTGACATGCACAAAGGCATGGCCGCCGGCACCTCAGGAATGAGCTCGGGCTGGAGAGCTAAAGCTGGACCCCATCAGAAGAGATGGCTGCCCCATGTCGGGCTAAGCCAAGCTCGGGGCTAAGGAAACTCAAGGAAGAGCCGTCTACACGGGATAGAGCCGCTGGGGGAGCACAGGGCCTACGTTTATTCACTCCTACTGGCACTCCCTCCTTACAAACCACTCTCACTGCTGCCATCATGATTGTTTTATTGCTCGATTTTAGAGAGAGAGAGAGGAAGTGGGGAGAGAGAGAGCACGAGGAGTATTGATTTGTTGCTCACTTATTTGTGCATTCATTGGTTGGCTTCTTACATGTGCCCTGACCGGGGGCCAAACCCACAACCCCAGCGCATAAAGATGATGCTCCAGCCAACCGAGCTACCCAGCCAGGGCTGATCTGTAAATATTTTAAACCAAGCACACTGAGCACCCACCGTGTGCCTGGTGCTGGGCTGGGCGCTGAGGATACAGAGATGTAACAGACTCAGACCTGCTCCGGACAAGTTCAGTCTGGTGGAGTCGGAGGTGTGACAACCAGATTCCAAGGCAGAAAGGTTGTAATGGGTTAAGGGATGTGGCTGGGTGTGCACAGCTGGGAGGACCGGGGAAGCTTCCCGGACTGGATGGCCTGAGTGGACCCCATGGCCCGCAGGCGGGGCGGGCTTCTGGGACTGCGTGAGTAAGAGTGAAGAGGTGCTGCACCTATAGGCTCTGCTCGAGGCTGGGACTGAATTGTTAATATGGCTCCAGGGCTGATGCCCGGACTCGCGCCTGGTGGTGGAGTAAGTTGGGGGAGGGAAGGACGGAGGGAACTATGGCAAGCTCTGGGTGCAGTAGCTACTTTCTGCCCGGCTGGGCCAGAGGGGCCGAGCCAGTGCACCCAGGACACAGGGCTCAGCCCTGCAGGAGAGGAGAGCAGGGGCGGCAGGGTGACAGCCACTGTGGGGCCTCGTGCCCCCAGCACTTCCTGCCTCCTCACAGCTTCTTGGCATCGTACAGTTTGGTTCACCTAGCAGCCCTGTGAGGTAGAGACCCCTGGGTTATCGCCCCATTGGTCAGAGAGGCACCGAGGCCCTGGGAAGTGAAGCAGCTGGGTGGCCCCTCCGCTGGGCTGCACTCAAAGGGCAGGCCCACCTCCTCAGGAACACTGGGAAAGGAGGGTGCGGCGTCTTTACTGCCCCGAGCAGTGCTGACCGTGCGGCAGGAGGCGAGAGCGGCACAGGAGCATGCGTGTGGTTCGGGCTTTGTAGAGACAATTAATTAAATAGACAGTTGTGTAGATACGGAGGAAAAAGCGGAGGGGTGTTTGCTACGAGATTAGCCGCGATATTCCTGAGTGCTGCGGTCATGGGTCGCTGTCATTTTCTTCTCAGTATTTTTCAGTATTGCCCAGAGTGTTTTTATAACAAAGCAGCTATTCTGTGTATGATCAGAATAGAAAGAGTAATGACTGCTAGGAAAGACAAGACCAGAGCGCAGGGAGTTCGGGTGGGGCTGGTGCCTACCGTTGACCCCTCCCTGCCATCTCCCTCGCCCAGGCGCCCACACCCAGCTGGTCCAGGTGAACGACTCCATGTATGGTTTCATCGGCACAGATGTGGTGCTGCACTGCAGCTTTGCCAACCTGCTGCCCGGCGTGAAGATCACCCAGGTCACATGGCAAAAGGCCACCAATGGCTCCAAGCAAAATGTGGCCATCTACAACCCAGCCATGGGCGTCTCCGTGCTGGCTCCCTACCGCGAGCGCGTGGAGTTCCTGCGGCCCTCCTTCATGGATGGCACCATCCGCCTCTCCCACCTGGAGCTGGAGGACGAGGGTGTCTACATCTGCGAGTTTGCCACCTTCCCTGCTGGCAATCGCGAGAGCCAGCTTAATCTGACTGTGATGGGTAAGGCTGGCCAACCCCTCCCTCCCTGCTTGTGCACAGGCCTGTGGCCTGGGGGCATGGCCATCCTTGGTGTGCATTTCAATGGCCCCAGACATTCTGCTTCTGTTGGCAAGCTCTAGGCGTGGCACTGCCAGTCCCACTAGCCAGGCCGCCCCACAGTTCACTAGGGACTCGGGGCAGGGCGCTCGCTTTGGATCAGTAGTCAGGTGTAGCCCCACTATGGAGCGATTTGTGGGTGGCCAGGAGGCATGCAGAAGCACCAGATAGCATGGTAAGGAGAAGGGCTGCTTGAGCCATTTGCCTTGAGCATGACAAGAATCCAAGAAGGCCTGCCCACGACAGAAGGGGGTGCAGATTGTAGAGCGGGAGGCAGACACACAGAGTCCCTGCGAGAAGTGCTAGGAGGGGCTTCGGTGAAGCACAGCTGACGGGGAGGGTCCAGGCAGCCTGAAGCAAGCCTGGCAGGTGCATACCCTCCTGGGCCTCGGCACCTTTGCCCGGGCAGTAGAGCCAGTCCCATGGCTCTCTCTGGTTCCCCACAGCCAAGCCCACCAACTGGATAGAGGGCACCCAGGCGGTGCTTCGAGCCAAGAAGGGGCGTGACGATAAAGTCCTGGTGGCCACCTGCACCTCGGCCAACGGGAAGCCACCCAGCGTGGTGTCCTGGGAAACACGGCTGAAGGGCGAGGCAGAGTACCAGGAGATTCGGAACCCCAACGGCACAGTGACTGTCATCAGCCGCTACCGCCTGGTGCCTAACCGGGAGGCCCACCAGCAGCCCCTGGCCTGCATCGTCAACTACCACCTGGACCGCTTCCGGGAGAGCATCACCGTCAACGTGCAGTGTGAGCAGGGCGGGAGCAGGCGGGGGCCTGGGATGGGCACTGCTATCCCCCCCCGCCCCACCCTCACAGGCCTCCCTTCTCGTCTCCGGTCACCCTCCTGCCCCCTTTCTTCCCTCACCCCCATTCCTTCCTTCTCCCCCCTCTTCCTCCGCCCTCTCTTTCTGGGGGCACTCTGTCGTCCCCTCCTCTCTTCCCCATCGCCTCCCTTTGCTCACCCTCTCTCGTCCTTCCTTCTTCCCCTTGCTGCTTCTGTGCCCTTCACCATCCCGCTCACTCTTCCCCCTCTTCTGGCTGTTTCCACGTCACTGCCAACTCCATCCCTTTGCTGTCCGAGATCCCCTTGCCCCAAGTCCTGCTCTCCTGACCTCGTTCTTTGCAAACATCATCCCTTGGCCACAGATGAGCCTGAGGTGACCATCGAAGGGTATGATGGGAATTGGTACCTGCAGCGGATGGATGTGAAGCTCACCTGCAAAGCTGATGCTAACCCCCCCGCCACTGAGTACCACTGGACCACGTGAGTGCTGTGGGGCTGGCCGGTCACCTTGCAAGTTACCTTGCTAGTCACAGAGAGGCCCCCACCCAATCTCCAGGAGCCTTGGCCAGAGAGGAAGTTAGTGTCTAGGCTCAGGTTTCTCCGTGAGAAGGGGAGGGGCCGTGAGAGACCACGCACCATACACCCTCACTGTGTTGACAGTGTCAGGGTCAGTGGGACAAACCGTTCTTCCAGAGGGGGGTTACCTTGTGATCTGCTTCCCTTCTGCTCCCTAATAATTTTGTCATTGTCCATTGGTGATTCAGTTTGACTCACTGCCCCTCCTGCCCCCAGTATTTATTTTTATCAAGGTGTCCCCAGGGAAGCTGGCTTTCTGAAGCCTTCTAGATCTTTCTTTGTTCCTATTCCTGCCCTCCAACACCCCGATATCCTCAGGGAGGAAGCAGCAGTCAGTCCAGAATACCTGTGTTCATAGAGCGCTCACTCCATGTCCCATCATTCTGTCGTTGGCCTCACGGTCTTTAGGCCTGGCCTTAAAGGGTTCTGTCTCCCCTCCAGCCAGCGCTGATGGCTAGAGCCAAAGTTCTTCCCAGAGAAGGGCTGGATGGAGTGCACAGAGAGATGGGCATAGGTGAAGCCAAGGAGAGACTTGGCATGGTGCTCAGAAGACAGCTGTCTAGATTATACGTACACTCTTTTCCCCACGAAGTAGAGGGCACCAGATACCCTGGCTACTGCCCTCTACTCCCTAGAACCAGAAGTGCTTCTGAATGTGTGAGTGGGCAGGGCCTGCTGGCCAACTTCAGCTCTGTGGACCAAGGACCTGCTAAGTCCCACAAAACAGTTGCTTTGTGTCACTGGTGATCAGGAGGAAGGAAGCAAGTTTCCTATGTTCTGGAAACTTCAGGATGCTCCCGACATAAAAAAGGCCTGTGACATGCCCAGCAAGAACATAAGATAGTGAAATGGAGCAATTCCCAAGCATGGGTCACATCTCATTGCCTGAGTAGCTTGTTAAAATACAGATTCCCAGGCCATGGCCCCAGTGGTCCAGCTTCAGTAGATCTGGAGTTAGAACCCAGACATCTGTGTGGTTAACCAGCTATGCAGGAAACCAGGATCAACAACCCGGAACTCGAGTCTTAGAAAGAGCACTGTGCCAAGAGTCCAAAGATCTGGCTGGAGCTCCAGTTCTGCGCTTACCAGCTGTGTTTCCTTGGCCTCAAACCTCAGGCTCCTCACCTGTTAAGTGCAGCCATATCTACCTGTCTTGTCTGCATTTTGGGGCCGCAGTGACCAGTGTGAAATGCTGAATAATATAAAGCTGCCAAATCCAAGAAATTGTTTCTGCTGTTACTGTTTTTACTCCTTCCAAGACACACCCTACCTGTTAACTCAGAAGAAGGGCTGGTGGGTGTGGAGCCAGGTGGGTGACACAGGAGCGTCCCAATCCTCTGCGTGTCTCCCAACCCCTGCAGGCTGAATGGCTCTCTCCCCAAGGGCGTGGAGGCCCAGAACAGAACACTTTTCTTCAGGGGACCTATCAACTATAGCCTGACAGGGACCTACGTCTGCAAGGCCACCAACCCCATCGGCACCCGCTCAGGCCAGGTGGAGGTCAACATCACAGGTAGGAAGCTGCACCCTTCCCTGCTTCTCCCCACCCACTGCTTCCTCGGCAGCCGATGCCCCCACCTTTGGGTTGTTTTGTTGCAGGAAGCTTGTGTCTCCCTTTTCCGTGTCTCTCACTCTCCCTTGAACACTGCCCACTGGCCTAGCTTTGCCTTTCTCTTTGCTCTGTTCAAGGCTGTGTGTGCGACAGCCAGGGTGACCCCGTCGGGCGCAGGAAGTAAGCGCTGTGTACAGCACCGCTGTTTGAGTGGGGTGAGAGCCTGCCCGCGGGCCTGCTGGCAGAAGCCACGGTGTGATGCTGGCTGGGGGGTTCAGGTGGAGCTCATCTCCTCCAAGCCCTGCCTCTGCTCAGGAGGCTCTCGGTGCTGGAGAGGAGGCTGGCCGCAGCAGGGACCCCGAGGGACAGCAAGGAGAAGCCCAGAGCCGCGGCGGTTGGTGCGCCGCCACTGAATCGCTGTTTCCCAGCGTTTTCTCCGTCAGTGCCCATGAGGAGGCTCCGCCACCGGACCTTTCAGGGCAAAGGGAAGACACAGGCCAGGACGTTCTGGAGACGTCACATGGGACCAGGAAGGAGCATGGGCTTCAATGTCAGGAAGCGGGATTCTGGACAAGCCCTCACCTGTAAAATGGGGATAATATGAGGTGCCTTGGAGGGTCAGATTTATACATAATGTAGCCAAGTACTTAGCGCAGACCTGCCTGCTGGTAAGTGGCCCCCGCTCTGTGATTGCCGTGACCCCGCATTAGCATTATTAAGGGAACGGTGAAAACAAGGCAGTAGTGGGGTAAAGTGCCACCAAGGCTTCGCCGCGGGAACAGGGATGTCTAGTGTGCACCCCAGCGAGGTGCAGGATGAGAAGCAGCAGGAAGAGCCTCCAAGACCAAGTGGCCGCATGCCGCGGCGGACAGGAAGTGCCCTCCAGGGTGTGTCTCATGTATAGGAGGGAGCCTCGGGAAGTTGGGCCGGGCTCAGGGACAGCAAGTGGGGCAGAGCTTCCTGGGCTTCAGGTGCAGGGCTTGGGCGGGCTCTGAGGGTCCATCAGTGCTGAGCCCGTAGGAGCAGGAGACCTCATCTGTGGGTCTACTCAAGGCCCCGCTGCAGAAAAAGCAGCCAGGACTGTGCAGGGGCTGCTCTCAGCCAGCCTCCGGGCCGCCTGTCACCTCCCTGGGGCTGGCCTTCAGGCTGCTTAAGGGACCGGAAGTGTTAGAGGCCGAACCTGGAGAAGCTGAGGCAGCCCCTCCCCCAGCGAGGGTTTAGGGTTCCCAAAGGGTGGCAAAGAAGGGAGGGCCACAGCCATACACTTCTCCCTTCCTGGGGAAAGTTTGAGCAAAGCTCAGTGAAAGCCTTATAGGCTCCTGAGCTCTGGCCCCGGGCCGGGGGGCAGACAAGAGTGAGGAGGAATCATAAGGGAGTGTGACACCCCAGAGGGAGGCCTGCCGTGTGAGTGGTACAGACTTGGCCTGAGAGTGTTCACATACGGGCTCTTCCCGGCTGTGTGGCCTTGAACCAGTCCTTCACCTCTGAACCTCAGCATCCTAATCTTTCACCTGGAGGTAATCGGGCTTCTTATGATCACACCAGATCCCTATTCCACTGCCTAGCAGATGGCGGGTGCTCCTACCTGGTGGTGCCTTCCCCCAGTGTGGACACCCCTAACCCTGTGTGCTGCATCCCTGCCACCACGAGGCGCCCCAGGAACTGCGGGTTAGAAAGTCAGGGCAGGAGGCCAAGAAACACAGGAGCAGCTTCCTCCCATTGACCCTATCCCCAGCATGAGTGGACCTGCCAGGGGCCAGGGGCCAGAGGCCCTGCTAGGCTCATGGGGCCTGTGGTGCTGCTCAGCCCCAGATGCAGGGCGACAGGGCGCAGCAGGTGGAGAAGGAGGCAGGATGGCCTCGAGTGCAGGCTGCTCATCAGGACTCACACGGGTCTAGGAGTAGCAGGGAGGCAGGAAGGAGCACTTCTCGGGCCCAGGGACAGAGAAGAGAGGGAAGAAAGGAGAGACCAGCTGTGGAGGTGGCCGTCTCCTGGGGGTCAGGCCTCAAGGCCAGGTAGGATGGGGCTGCCCAGGGCACACAGCATGCCCTCCTGGGCTCCCTGGAGGTACAGAGTGGGACAAGCGTGGTAACTAAAGGCCTTGCATAGGGGGTGGAGGGTAGGGTCCCTGGTGGGGAGCGTGTGGGAGGAAAATGGAAGGACGAGCTTTCTTTCTGTTGGCCAGCAGAGCCTCTGCAGGGCCCTCTAGAGAGAAGCCATGTGGCAGGTGGGTTGGTTTAGACTGAGCATTTGGGGAGCTTTGTGGATGGCCCTGGGGACCAGGGAGGGGCTGCACAGTGAGGGTTTCCTAGGGGAAACCAGAAGCCTGAGCTGTGGCCATGGGGTGAGAGCAGAGGAGACAAACTCTCCGGAATTTCCATGGGGCCTGGGCCCTCCTGCGTCAGGATCAGTTTCATGGGGTTGTGCCCCTCCCTTCTCCCTGTGCGGGTAATGCTGAGAGTGGGGAGGGGTGCTCAGGGTATGACCTTGATCAGACTAAAGAAGCCAAGTTAGGCAGCATCTCTCCCTGGGACGACTGGGGGTGTCAGGAGGAGAGTGTCCAGGCCACTTCTAGAGCAGGCGAGGAGGCCTGTGGGGTGTACTGGCTGTAGGGTGTCTGTCCCACTGCCCACTTCCCTGAGGGTAACAGGATGTGTCTGTTAGGCAAGGAGTTCTTCAGACCAAGGGTTGGTGGGGCATCAAGGTCTATCTAGAAATGGGGCATGCACCTGTAAGTGTGGGTGGGTGCCTCTGGGCGAGTAACTGTGCCCAGCAGGCAGGTGAGCTACTGCGTGAGTGTGCACATGGGAGCCCCTGGCTGTGCTGTGGGCAGATAGGCCTCTCCCCAGGCAGATAGCAGTGTATGGGGCCCCTCAGAGGATCCCGTCCCCTCCAGCATGATGAGGCCTGTCTTCTGGTTTGACAGATGCACAGCTGCTGTAGCTGCAGGAAGAGGAGGGTGGTTTCCCAGAGTTTGACCCCAGCCTCCCCACTGACCCTGGGCCCACCGCACTGCATGCTAGGTGTAGTTTGCAGCCTCCCAGCCCAATCTATGATGCCTGAGCACTTCCTGCCCGCCTGTGATGGTTTTAGAAGGAAGGCCAAGCATTCTCTTTGATCCCAAGCCTCCTCTAGGTCTTAGATCCAGACTATAAACCCTAACCCTTCCCTCTACCTCAAATCCATCCAAAGCCCCAACTATAGTCTACCTGCCTCAGTCAGGAAACTGGGGCCCTGAGGAATGCGGAGCCTACTGCCCCAGAGGAGAGGTGCAACCAGCCAGGAATGGAGGCCAAGCTGCCCCCTTTGTAAGAGGATATGAGGGGTGCAGGCTGGACCCAGCCAGCAAACACAAGTGACCCGCGCTCAGCCCTTTTCTCCCCTCCCAGCTGCCGCTATTGAGGCTGTCCGTGCTCCTGGCACAAAGATGAAGACAGGAGCTCCCACCGCCAGATGTGACAGCTGGAGGCACAGAGCGGGAGGGGTGGGTTTTCCATTCCACACCTTAATTAGGCCCAATAGCTGCGGCTTTCCTCTGCACCCTCACGCAGCATCCTTACTCTGAAGTCTGCTGTGCTGGGAGGCCCTTAGCCGCTCTTCCTCTACACAGGCCTGGTCCTAACGTAGCCAAAACAACCAGGGTTCCCTTTTGTCCAAAAAGCTCCCTAGGGTAGAATAAACCTCATTAGGGCTAGAAAAAATAAAGTTAAGCAGTAGAGCCTAGAAGGGAAAGAGACCCAGTATCATCTGTCCCCAAGCCACCACCTCTCTCCTCCCATCCCTGCTCCCGTGAAATGAGGTCCACAGAGCATGCACTTACTTGAGGGTCACCTGAATATCTGTTCTTTCTAGATCAAGGCTCACCTGTAAGACATAACCTTGCCTTTATATAATTCATTCAACTGGTTCTTGAACTCCAGCCACATGCCAGGTAGCCTAGGTGCATGGGGATACATCGCTGAGCCAAACAAAGTCCCTGTCTCTGTGGAACTTACCTTCTAACACAGAACAGCAACAAGCAATAGATAAAATACATTTGAAAAGTTGTGTAGTCATTTTGAAGGTGATCTGGAGAAAAGAAGAGCAGGATAACAGGGTCCCAAGGGCTGGGGGGGTCATGAGCTGCAACTTTAAATAGGGTAGTCAGGGAAGGCCTCAGTGAGAAGGGACATTTGTGCCAAGCCCTGAAGAGGTGAGGGAGTGACCATGGGACCCTGGGGGAGGAGCCTTCCAGGGCAGCAGAGCAGCCACAGCAGAGTCCCTGAGAGCACCTGGGTTGGAGAAGACAGGAGATGCACTCGGGTGGAGGTCAGAGGTTCCCCAACCTCACAGCATCTGTGGCTCTGAAAATAGTCTAAAGGAAATGAGTGGCACTGGGGAAGACAGTTGCCGATTGCGATAATCCAGGTGAGAGGTGGTGGTGGCTCAGGTCCTGGTGGTGGTGATGGTAGGAAGAGGTCAGGATCTAGACTTACTTTGGATTCAAATGTACAGATTAGTTTGGGACACCAGCCACTCTCATGAAGCAGGCAATACTGTAAATTCTACCATATTGTGGTTCGTGGGGTCCAAGAAATTCAATCTTGTCAAGTAAAGTGTAGGAGAGCTTTCTTTTTCATTGGGCCTCTGCCGCTGCAGACAGAATGAAAGTAACTGTAGTGGAATTTACACTGTATACAACTGTAACACACTAAATTGAGCTGATCCCAGTTACCACGAGGCTGCCACTCCCTCAACCTCTCATCGTTCCTGCAGAAGAGAGGAGCCTGAGCAGCTTGAACGCTGGCAGAAGGACTGGGGCCAGTCATGGCCAGTGTGCATTTATTGCAGGGTGTTTATCACAGGCTCTACTATAATATGTCAGCATAGGATAAATGGAATAGAATCAGCTGTTGTTTATACGAGAATGAGACATGCAGACCATTGGTACGTAAAAATTCTAAAGAGCAAAGGTAAGTGGGAGCTGGAGGAGAGCAGGCTGCTCAAGGAAGGGCTAGAGGAACTGAGGCAGGCAGAGGGCTGAGCGGGGCATTCCTGGCGGACAGACAGCTCGAGCCGATGCAGCGGACAGCTACGTGGACAGCAAGGACAGCTCGAGCCAAACCCAAGATCAAGCCACACGATGGAAGCTCTGAAGACCAGGCCGCATATGTGACAGGTAGTAAGGAAGTCAGGACTCATCTTGAGAAAAGGAGGGTGGGGTCTGAGCAGTGAGAAATAAGCTTGGTGGTTGGGGGGGCATGGCTAACGAGGGGCAGAGACCCAATGGAGGGGGGAAATTCCAGAACCAGCACCACAGTGAAACCTGTCGTAAGCGATGAGATGTTGGGTAGAAAGAGGCAACACGATCTGGTCACAAATTTTGATCCCAGGGGGTAAAGGACGAGCCAAAGATAAGTGAAGGTCTAAGCTGGGGGAGTGGCACATGGTGCTGGGGGCTGTGGTGTGAACGGAGACGGTGGGACAGATGGGCTGAGACGGTGGAGAGAATTCCCAAGTGTTTAACCCCAGTGTTTTGCTGACCCTTTGAGCCAATGGCTGTGGTTCCACATTTTGGGAAATACTGCCTGAGAGCCCTTTGGAGATAAAGCCCGGAGTTGGTGAGAGCTGGTACCTGACATGTTGGGAGAGCCAGCAGAATAAAGGTAACTCATGACCCCAGACCAAGTCTGTCACTAGGAAAGAAAGCAGAGGGTAAGGGCTGAAGGTCCAAAGATAGAGTCTTCAGCCAGGAGGCCGGAGCAGAGTGAAGGTCCCAGCAGTGCGGTCAGAGACAGCCCTCGGGAGGAAAGCCACGGCGAGGAATCCCTGCATTAGCAGGCGAGAGAAGCCCTTCTAACTCCTGGCCACGGTGCTCCTCCTGCTCTTCGAGGCACCTCTGCCAGTGCCCTGGATGTCTGCACACTGCTTTGTCTCTGAGAGGGCCATTTGGTTCCCCACTAGGCTGTGAGTTTCTCAAACCCTGTGACTACTAGCAAAGTTGATGCTCAGTACATGTTTGCTGATCGTGTAGGTGGACAGATGGGTGAGTGGATGGGTAGATGGGTGGATGAGTGGGTGGGTGGATGGACAGGTGGGTGGAAGAGTGGATGGTGGGCAGGTGGATGGACGGATGGACGGACGGACGGACGGACGGGTGGATGGAAAGATGACTGGATGAGTGGATCAGGTGAAGCGAGGAGAGCATTCCAGTAGGGTTGGGAACTAAAGAGGTGGCAGGCAGGTGGGAGTTACAGAAGAGGCCAGCTACCTCTTGAGTTCCCCTTGTGGAGGCAGCTCTCCCCTGGTGGGGAGCAGGTGTGCAGCCCTTTTCAAGGCAGGAAGGTGAGACCTGGTGGACCAGAACCTTGAGGCTCCAGACATCCTGTTCTGGAAGCAGGCAGTGAGGACGAACATTCGATAAATAATTATTATTGGGCAGCCACTGGGGACCTGCACTGAGGACACAGTGGTGACAGTGGAACACTGAGTCTTCAGTGGTTGAGCTCTCTGCCAACTCCTGGCTGTGGAGGGGCCAGAAACAGGAGTGTCTGGGTGGCCCGGCTCAGTCATATGAGTGAGCAAATCACCCCCCCTTCTTTGGCCCCACTGTTTCCATTAGCCCTTCCAGCCTGAACCCCTGGAAGGATTTTTCTCCTCTAGACTCTGTGCACTGCTCCTCCCTGCGCAGACACCACCATGCACTCCTGCACACATGGGCCTGCCCCACCTCTGGAGAAGGAAACGTCTCATAGGAGGGGCAGGATTCCCTCGCAGTGAGTGTGGCTGATCAGGGAGTGAGCAGGCAGAAACTGATTCCCAAAGGCTAGGACATAAGCCCACATCAACCCTTTACCTGAAGAGAGGAGGGAGGGATGAGAGCAGAGGCCCAGAGCCTCCAGGTTTGCCTGGACCTGCCCCTCTGCTCCTCCCGACTGTGGCCGTGGTCTCCGGTGCCACCCTGTGGTGGTGCTGAGAAGCGCCTCCTTCAGCCTCTCCTTGGCCCCCTTTGACCTCTGGCCAGGCGCCACTGGCAAAGAAAGTCACCCACTCAGCCTTCTCTTCCTGTCTCCTCTTCTCACCTTTCCTGCCTTCTTGTTCCCGCTCTTTCCTTAGTGTGAACATATTTGTACACACTCATCACATCAGCACAGGCATGTGGGCCGTGAACATGAGGGGTGTGTCCCCATGGCCCTCTGTCTGTGTGTCTTTAGAACACGCTCGAGTGCTCTCGAGATGTTTCTATACATCCATGCGTAGCAGCTTCTGCTGGTGGCCCAGGCTGGTAGCACCCCCAGCCCCCACCTTGCCCTGCAGGGCCAGACCACAGCCCTGGTTTCTGGCACTCACAGGGCATCATGGGGCCCGCACCTGGGAGGCTGTCCTATTCCTTGAACCCTAGGAGCAGATGAGATCAGGTAGCATCCAATGACAAGCAGGTGCTGGGCAGAGGGGCAGTAGTGACACTGGCACAGGCTTGACATGCATGAGAACCAGTGTTGCATCGTTGGCTGGTGGCTTTGGGCAAGTTGTTTGACCTCTCTCTGCCTCTTCTCACTGTGTGTTAAATGAAATTAATGGCACACCTGCTTCTCAGGGTGTCGTGACAGGGACGCATCTCAGAAACGCTGGGTCTCTCTGCACTTCTAACGAGAGTGATCTGGGCTGGCACCCATCCAAGGGAAAGTCCGCATGGAGGCTCGGGCTGCACCCAGGCTCTGCCTCTCTTCCCACTGCAGCTGCAGTGCTCGGAGGGTGGGCTGCCAAGGAACTGGGGCTGTCCTTGGACCTTGGGCGCACTTCCTGGCCTTTCCTGCCCTGCCTCCCTCACTCCCTGCCACTGAGCGGACACTGATACTGTCCCCTCCGTGTCTCTTCCTCACCCAGAATTCCCCTACACCCCATCTCCTCCTGAACACGGGCGGCGAGCGGGGCCGGTGCCCACGGCCATCATTGGGGGCGTGGCAGGGAGCATCCTGCTGGTGGTCATCGTGGTCAGTGGGATCGTGGTGGCCCTGCGCCGGCGCCGGCACACCTTCAAGGGCGACTACAGCACCAAGAAGCACGTGTATGGCAACGGCTACAGCAAGGCGGGCATCCCCCAGCACCACCCGCCCATGGCCCAGAACCTGCAGTATCCTGATGACTCCGACGACGAGAAGAAGGCCGGCCCGCTGGGAGGCAGCAGCTACGAGGAGGAGGAGGAGGAGGAGGGCGGCGGAGGGGGCGAGCGCAAGGTGGGAGCCACTCACCCCAAATATGAGGAGGATGCCAAGCGGCCCTACTTCACAGTGGACGAGGCAGAAGTCTGTCAGGACAGCTACGGGGACCGGACTCTGGGCTACCAGTACGACCCTGAGCAGCTGGACTTGGCCGAGAACATGGTTTCTCAGAACGATGGGTCTTTCATTTCCAAGAAGGAGTGGTATGTGTAGTTCCTCCCCAGAGCCTGTCTGTACCCCTTCTCCACCCCACCCGCACGCCCCCCACCTGCCCTCACTGCCTGGTCCTCCAGGGCCTCCCAGAGACTCGCCCAGCTGCCCAAAGCCACCTCCCACTCACTCCCCGGGAGCCAGGGAGCCCTGGGCACACCCACCTGGCCTTGTTTGATGCCCTCCCTGCCCCCACTCTCCCCATGGTGTTGTGCTCACTGTGGCTTGGATGTTACTGTACCTCTCCTCCCAGCTACAGCCTCCTGCGCCACGTGCAGGAGCCCCGATCTCGTCTGTGCACCCGGGCATCCACCCCCAGGATTCAGGGGGCAGCCCTCCCCCACTCCGACACTGGAATCTTTGTTCTCCACTGGGGGTAGGAGGCTGAAGGCCTCCAGGAGAAAGAGCCTCACCCCTAGATGCTGCTCTTTTCCCACGAAGAGGGAACCCAGCCCCCATGGAGCTGAGCTGACGCGGCCAGGAGACTGAACCTGGTCTAGACAGCAGTTGCCCCAGAGGCAGGGGCGAGCGTGTCTCCCCAGAGCACAGGGCTGCCGGGTGCACCAGGCCGACGGAGCTGCGGCCCCGCCTGGGCCGGAGCGTGTTTTCCTGCGAGGTGGGCTTTGTCTCTGCCCCCTTGTCCCACAGGAAGGAGCGTCCCACCCGACGCCCTTTGTTGCCCTTCTGCTCCCTGAGTGGGGCTCCGGGTGGACTCCGGCCCACACTTCCCACGCCTCTGCCGACAGACACGTACCCACATACACACACGACCTTGTCTGCTGCCAACCCCTGGGTCACGTGCCCCCCCGGGCTGGACGCTGCTCATGGCGCGCTCCTCCCCACTCCTGCCCCTTCCCGGTTGGCAGTGGAGCGGCCTGAAGCTTTCCGGGAGGCCGAGACTAGGCCCTGCCGCCCCCACCTAGGATCTCATGCTGGCCTACAGCATGGAAGTCTCTTGGGTTTCTTTCTCATCTGTCGAGTGCTAGCAACTCTTGATTCTCTTGAGTCAGGGTTGGGGTCCCAAAGGGAACCACCTCTAGGCCTTAGAGGCAAGCACGCACCGCCGTGGAGGGCGTGGGAAGGACGCCGTGTGGTAGGAGCTCTGAGCTAGTCACAGACTCTGAAGGGTGTGGGTAGCACCCCTCCTGAAGGCCAGAGGGCAAGGGGAGAGGGGAGCAGGGACACCTGCCGCCCGCCACTGCTTCCTGCTCAGCTGCCCCTGGTCTCTGTTCAGCCGGTGGCATGTGAGCAGCTTTTCCTCATTTGAGTTGTAGGCCTGATATCCTAGCAGTCACCCAAGACTTGGTGTCCCCACCTCTACAGTGGAGGAAGGCCCTCCCCACCCTCTCAGTTCCCCCAGCTCAAAGTGCCTCAGCCCCTGCATCTGCCCACTCATTGCCCCCACCCCTGGCACTCTAGACAGGAAGACTCTGGGGGGGAGATGCAGTTCATGCCTGCCCATTAGGATCCCCGTTAACTGTTAACTCAGCGCAGGTGTCAGCAGCTCCATGGGATGGCAAGTGTTGGGGGGAGGGGCAGGCCACTGTGCTCCAGGAGCACTAGCCTGCCCTGCCATAGGCTTCCCAAGGGAGCTCCCAGCCCCCCCCCTTATTTCTCCCCTCCCTGGTGCTGCTATTGGACCCCTAGTCAGCTCCTGGCAACCCTGGGCCCGCCAGGTGGGCCCCCCTCACCTGGCCCCTACAGCCCAGGCCCAGCCCAGGCTACCCAGTAGCCACGTAGCAGAAATCTGAAGCCATGGCAGCCCTGGGGCCGCTCCCCCTCTTGGTATTAAGGGTACTGGGTGGAGTTGGGGGAGAAAATTCTGGAGTCTTTCTAGCTACAGGGCAGAGGGGGTGGAGGAGCTGGGCTGCTTCTCCAGGCAGAACCAGTGCACCCAGGGCAGAGGGCCTTTTCCGCGGCATATCACTGCCCCATCCCACCTCATGCCACCGGACTCCTCAGCCTGGTTCCCTTGCCCCAGGCAGGAGGAAATCCCAGGGGCCTGCCTGGTAGAGGCTTCCCCTGTCCCCTTGGAACCATAAGACTGAAAGAATTCCTCCTCCTGTGTCGACCTCACCCTGCACTGCCACCTCTGTTCCTCACTTTGTGATGGACTCAGGAGGCCCCAGCCTGGCCGAAGCACTGAGTCCCCCTTAAGACACTTCCACAGCCTCCCCCCAAGCAAAGCACAAATTGTGGTGCCTGTGCCACATGCATGGGTCATGTGGGAGCTCCTGCCTTGCCAGGAAAGCTGCTCCCCAAGGCCGAGAGTGGGCACGAGGCAGGGGTCAGCACTGGGGCCTGGGGAGACGGGGTTTTCTGTACCCCTAATATGTAGGGAGGTGGTCACTGCTGCTGGGCCCACAGCCAGCCAGCTGGCAGAGGGAAGGCGTGCCCAGAGGAAGAGGAGGTGTTCTGCTTCTCCATGGCACCAGCATGAGCTGGGCTGCCCTTGATGGGAATGAAATGAACTTGGTATTCGCCGTGCCAAGACCTCCCCATTGTCGCCCTGCCCCTTGTTGCCCTCCCTGTCCTTGCCCACCCTCACCCAGCAGTGCCCCAGTTTCCTTCAGATTTTGATACTGTTCTAATGTGGAACAGAACCATCTGAGTCCCTCCCATGAGAAGGGGGCGCGCACGGGGCACGGATGGGCGCAGACACGGCCTGGCCTGTGCTGGGCAGAGGGGACGGCGCTTTCCCAGCGCTCGGCCCTAGGACAGACTCTCAGGAGCTCCGTCGCCTGGGCCTGGGCCCCTCCGCCAGCCCCTCCGTGTGCCCAGACCACTGGTGCAATATCTTTCTGCCACCCTCAAAGCAGAGGAACCAGGGAATGTTAGGAGGGCACAGCGGCCCATGGGGAGGAGGGGCCTCCTGGGCCTCCTGGGGGCTGCCCTCCAAGTCCCGCTGCCCCCAGAGGCCCTCCCAGGGAGCAGCCGGGGCCTCTCCCAGGCCCCACAGCCACAGGCGCCCAGGGGAGGCTTCTGAGGCCCCGCTGCCCCCGGTGCTTCGGCTCCTCTACTGCCGTAAGGAAGAAAATGGTGTTTTTTTGTATAAATGAAAAAATCCAGCAGAGGCTGCCATCCTCGCCTCTGAGCACGATGCACAAGCTTTGCCTCAGTTTCTTTGTCGCCATTTTAATCTCTGGTCCAGGGATGGCCCCGCAGATTCTCCTGGTCTCCTGGGGGTGTTTGCAGCACCCTCTTTTACTTGTATTAAAAAAGAAAAATAATGGGTTGAAAAATGTACTGAGGAAAAAATGTACTTTTTATAATAAAGTGTTTAAAATAATGTTGGTTGCCTTGTGTCACTCTGCTCCCTGGAGTGGGGACAGACTAAGCGGGGCCTGCCCAGCACCCCAGTGGGGGAAAGGAGCCCTCACCCCACGTCCAGATTCCAGTTCCAGGGCTGTGATGCCGAGATCTGCGGGAGCTCCCATGCCTAAGCCGAAGGAACCCCAACCTGCCATCTGGCAAGAGGCCCCAGGGAGAAGGAGAGGGTCCAGCCTGGGCCCTCGCCTCACTCACTGTTGCCACTGAACTGTCTTCCATACAAAGAAGTCTAAATAGCAGCATCTGGAGGGCTTGGCCTGTGCGGCGGGGGCAGGGAGGCCCTTCAGTACGTGTGTCCTGGGAGGTTGGGGCTGACAGTGGAGAGGGAGGGCCCTGGGCTGAGTCCTCTGCCCTCCTGAGTTCAGGAGCCTCCTGCCCCAGAGCTGCCCAGCTCCTGCTGAGGACGTCAGTCCCCACTCCCGCCGTCCTGCTTCTTCCTACCAAATCC